GATCCACACAGTTGAATGCTTTTGCGTAGTCACTGAAACACAGGTAAACATCTTTCTGGTGTTCTCTGCTTTCAGCCACGATCCATCTGACATCAGCAACACTATCCCTCATTCTCCATCCTCTTCTGAATCCAGCTTGCATCTCTGGAGGTTCTCTGTCAACATACTGCTGCAACTGCTCTTGAATTTTCTTCAGTAAGATTTTACTTATGTGCAATATTAATGATATATTCCATTATTTGCACATTCTGTGGGATCACCTTTCTTCAGAATGGGTACAGATGTGGATCTCTTCCAGTCAGTTGGCCAGGTAGCTGTCTTGCAAACCTCTTTGCACAGATGAGGAGGGCCTCCAGCGGGGCATCTGTTTGTTGAAACGTCTCAGTGGGTGTCCCACCAGCTCCTGGAGCCCCGCTCTTCGCCAGTCCCCTCGGTGCAGCCCCGACTTCTTCCTTCAGCACCATCGGCTCTTGATCGCGTGCCGCCTCCTGAAACGGTTGACCTTCACCAAGTCCTTTGGGCACGGTTTGACTCGGTTCCTTCCAGCTTCTTCTGATGCCCCCGTGTGTCCAGCGTGCTGCGCACAGAGTGCCCCGGCAGCGCAGGCTTGTGTTTCTCCATCAGTTTCCGGCTGGAGGAATGTCGAGCGTGTTCCTCCCTCTCGGCTGTCCGACTCCACGTCTCTGCACGTTTCCTTGTGATCCTTCACCTTCTCCTCCTGAACTGTCCTTTGAAATCTTCTGTTCCGCTCTCTTTTATCCTTTCTTCTGTTCCTTGTAGTTAGTCTCCACTCAAGAGCAAGTTTCAGAGTCTCTTCTGACATCCATGTTGGTCCTTCATGTCTTTTTAAGGACCTTTTTCTTTCTTCATGTATGTTGTCTGTGATGCCATCCCACAATTCCTCTGGTCTTTGATCATTATGAGAAACAGGAAATATCATTGCACTGTTTCGTATTCTGCTTTTGAAATCTGGTGTTGACCTGACTCCTGGCACAAGGACAGGCAGTGGGTAGGGCACACCGTGTTGGGTGATTTCTGGGCTCCTTACCCCTGGCCCCCCTTAGCTGTTGGTTCTGGGAGCCTTAACGAACTCAGAAGGCTTTTGATCTTCGGTCTTGGGAGAAAGTCTTATAATAGACTCTTGTCAGAAGTCCTGGCTCGGGAAAGAATGCCCTTGTCTGACCTTCATGTCCCTGAGGGCTAATTCATGGTCTGATGGTTAAGTTAGTGCAGAGCTGGCTTAAGTCATGGAGTCTGCGTGGCGTGTTCATGACCTGATGTATCAGGAGGGGTTTGGTGGGCACTCGCATTAGGATTCGTCAGAGACAGACCCGCAGGATACACGTATGTGTGCGTTTACATGCACACGGGCCATCCCCAGTGTGTGAGCTTTGGATTCTCCAGAGGAACGGAACCAGTGGGATGCACATGTGTGTGTGTGCATTTACCTGCACACAGCTTGTCCCCAGCTTACTCAATACTTGGTTTTCAGGAAATGCTTCAAGGCTATAGGTATTTAAGGAACTGAACAGTTTGAGCAAATGCAGTTTTCTACAGTTAAGCCTAGAATCCCAAGCAGCAGTGTCAGGTAGATGGTGGTGTGTGCCACTGCAGTTGCTGGTGGCCTCGGGGCCACAGAGCAGGACTGGGCCGAGGGCCCACCCGACCAGGTAGGCTCGTGTGCTGAGGTGACAGGAGATGGTGACGGCCTGAGGGCCACTTCTATGCTGTCCTTCGTAATACTTTTATTGCCTGAAGTAATACTAAAAAAAAAAAAAAAAAAAGATTATCTTAAGAACCCTGGTGGCGCAGCAGTTAAGTGCTTGGCTGCTAACTGAACGGTTAACAGTTTAAACCCAGTTAGCAGCTCCATGGGAGAAAGACCTGGAAATCTGCTCCCATAAAGACGTGCTGGTGGTGGTGGTGGTAGGTGCTGTCAAGTGGGTTCTGACTCACAGTGACCCTGTGTACAACAAAACACAACACCCCAGTCCTGCACCAGCCTCACAGTCTTTGCTGTGCCTGAGCCCGTTGTTGCAGCCAAAGTGCCAATCCATCTCATTGAGGGTCTTCCCCATAAAGGTGACAGCCTTGGGGACCCTGTGGGCAGTTCCACTCTGTCCTCTAGGGGCGCTGTGGGTCAGAATCAACTGAATAGCAGGTGATAACAAGCGTATCTTGCTTAGTTTTTACTCAGAGAGATGATACTTTAAAAGAACAAGAGAGGAGGGTGAACCTTCATTACTCAGCCCGTTTTTTCATTATTTAAATTCCAGCGTGCTCCAGAAGTTGGGGATAAAGCCATCTATCAATTACTACCAGGTACGTCTCGTTTCCGCCAGTTGTCCCTGCAGCCGTCTTTAAACGAGGGCCGGGGGCAGCATGCGGCCGTCCTCCCAGCTGTGACCCAGCACAGGCCTCTCTTGTGGCCCTTCTGTGCGCCTGCTCGGTGTGTTGAAGTGTTTCCTCGTTACACTGAGTGTAACAAACAGCGGGGCTGGCCTCGGAGGTGGAGCCCAGAGCAGGCTGCAGGGGGCAAGCGTGTGGTACGGGCTCCCGTGGGGCAGGTGGGAGGTGCGGTTTGACGAGGCTTTGGAGCAGGGTGATGGCTGACAGGGTCCCTGTGGAGCAGCTGGAGGGGCGGGGCTGGGAGAGGGGCCGGCAGGAGCACGTGGGTGGAGCTGGCCCCCGCACGCTCTCCTCATAGGATCCAGGTTTGACTGTCACGCCCTCTCTTCCAAGCTGGGCGCATCCCCGAGGTGGCACTGGAGGACGGCACGTGGCCAGCGTTCGTGTTGTGTTGTGGAGCGTGCGATGTCCTGTGTCACACCTGCTTGGTTTTCCTGTTGAAGTGCCAGTTCTAAAGTGTCGGCTTTCCTTCAGATTTCAGATATTAAAGACGCGCTCGCTGGCGTGTACGGAGTAATCCCCAAGGTCCAGTGCCTTCCGCCAAAACAGGTGACGTGTTCATCTTCCTTGTCTTGGTTGGGAAAACAAGTCTCCGCTTGTTGACAGACTATGTTCACTGTAGACTTCCTGGGAGCTGGGGGGTCTGAGTGTGTGTGTGTGTGTGTACAGTGCAAGAATGTGTGCACATGTCCACATGTGTGTGAGTGTGGTGTGTGAGTGGGTGTGGTGGGTGTGAGTGATGTGTGTGAGTGAGTGAATGTGGAGTGTCTGGTGAGATGTGTGATGTGTGAGAGTATGTGCTATTTGTATGTGTAGTATCTTTGTGAGTATGATGTGTGTGAGTGAATATGGAGTGTACGTGGTATGTGTGTGGGGTGTGTGTGAATGTGTGTGCATGAATGGTGTATGAGTGTGTGTGGTGTGTAAATGTGTGGTATGTGTGCATGTGTGTGTGAAGGAGTAGTATGTTATTGTGTATGTGCTATGGTGTGACTGAGTGTGCTACATGTGTATAGCGTGTATGAACGTGTTAGTATATGATGTGTGAGTGGTGTGTGTGCATGACTGGTGGTGTGTGTGAATGTGTCTGTGGTGTGTGTGTGTGTGTGTGTAAATGTGTGGTGTGTATGAGTGTGTTAGTGTGTGTGGGGTGTGTGGTGAATGTGAATGTGTCCATGTGGGGTGTGTGTGTGGTTTGTGCATGTGTGTGAATGAGGGTGTGGGGTGTGTGAATGTGTGGTGCGTGTGAGTGTGGTGTATGTGTGAATGTATGTGGTGTGTATGTGTGTGTGTTAGTGTGTGGTGTGTGTGCGTGTGTGATGAGCATGGTGTGAAGGGTGGTGTGTGTGTTAAGAACCAGCTCATGCCCCGACACGGTGCTGCGACAGGGTTTGCTCTGCCACCTGCCCCTCGTTGGGACTCACCTGGGTCCTGGAAGGGCGGGTGGAATGAGGAGGAGGGGACACTGTCCTAGGAAAATGTCTCTCAACAGGAAGGTCGTTTGTATGTCGGTGCCACAGTGAGTTTACGGTAGTCGCCTGGGTAACGCGTAGACAGAGTGTAGCTTCTTTCCCAGCCGATGAAGACAGGGCAGTGGGCACTATTTACCTTCCTCCACGCCAGTGCTGTTTTCTCATGCCGGTGTCTTGACGTGCCTTCTGCTGCGTCCCAGGGCAGCCGCGCGGAGTGCCGTAGGTGGGCAAAATAGGGTCAGAAACACTGGGGGCTAGACAAAATAGGGTCGCGGTTCTGGGGGCTAGACATCCAAACCCAGGGAGTCTCAGGGCTCTCTGTGTGGCGGGGCAGGGTCCCTCCTTGTCTCTCCGGCTCCCAGTGGCCCCAGGCGTCCGGGGCTTGTGGCCACATCGCTCCAGTCCCTGCCTCCATCTTTGTGTGACTGTCTCCTGTCAGCATCTGTCTGTCTCTTCTTCCCTTCTTTCAAGTGCACCAGCCAGATGGGGTCAGAGCACGCCCTGCTCCAGTGTGACCTCCCAGGAACAGATAGCAGCCTTGGAGACCCCGTTTCCAAACGGCCTGCTTGCAGGGGCAGGGGTGGGGTCCTCAGCACCCCGTTTTGGGAGAAGCAGTTCAGTCCCTGGCAGAAATGTGCATCTGTCTCTGTGCACGTGTGCATTTTGTCTTGATTTTTCCCAACATGGGAGCAGCACACGCGGCTCGGGTTCCTGTGGCAGCAGGTGGGTGGGTCCCCCGCTGACCTACTGCCCGCGGCTGGCTCCTTCCCACCGTGGCTTTGAGTTGCTGTTCTCAGGCACCGTTGGGTCATTGTAGACTCATGGAGACCCCGGGTGACAGAGCGGACCTGCCCCCACCGGCCCCTGTCGGGTGGTCCAGGTCGTCCGCACTGTCGTCTCGATGGGAGCGGATCACCAGGTGTTCCTCCCGAGAGCCACTGGTGGGTTTGACGCACCAACAGTTTGGTCAGCAGCCGAACGCTTCACCATTGCACCACCAGGGCTCTGGTCTGAGTCGCGACACCTGTCAAAAAACGTGTGCATCCTGGGAGCTCTGGTGGCGTCTGCCTGAGGCATCTGACTGCTAACCAGGAAGTTGGTGGTTCAGACCCACCAACCACTCCCTGGAAGGAAGACTGGGCAACCTGCTTCTGTAGAGATACCACCTTGGAAACCCAGGACGGGGTCGCTGGGAGTCGGAGTTAACTCAGTGGCAGGGAGTTTGGTTCGGGTTTCTCCTGGGCTCTGGGCTGAGCTCTGTGATCACCCATCTTGTCATCTCCAAGTTCCAAACCTCACGATTGTGCCATACGGCGCTCACCCGCTATTTCACCTCTGCCCTTAGAACGAGGACGTGCAGACCATCGGTCAGATCGAGTTGTGCCTCACCAAGGACTTCAGACTGAGGAACTGCTCCGAACCCGGGCCTTCAGCGGTCCTTAGGCAGAAAGCCAAGCGGGCGGAGGTGGAGTCGGTGGCTGAGGGCCCGGGGCTGGAGGTCTGTGAAGACGGTCCTGTGTTCTACCCCCCACCCGGAGCGACCACCCGGTGATGCCCATCATGGGAACTCCCTGTGTGTGAAAGCAGGGGAAGCAGGCACACACGTGTGCTTTCCTGAAGGAAAGGAAGTACCGTGGGCCGGGTGGCTGTTCACGGTGGGAATAAAGCTCCAGGCGTCCTGTGTCCTGGGGAATCTCTCCATCTTTATAGGATAAGGCTGGTGTCCCAGCACAGAAGCAGACGGTGGAGGCCGGGAGGGGCCCCGGGGCTGGGTGCCACTGTGCGGTGCGGGATCCTGTTCACATCCAGGACTCCTTCACACGAGGAGCCAAAACCAGTCCCTGCTCAGGGTGGACGGCCCGCCTGTGCTTCCAGGCGGCTGCAGACGAGAGTGGTTGGCGGGCCAGCCTCTGCCCCGTGGCCTGGTGTGAGCTGGGCTCCTTGGGGCCCTGGAACGCCGGAGGGAGAAGTATCCCCAGGGGAGGTGAGGTAGCCTGTGTCTCCTCCAGGTGTGCACAGGTTAGAACAAAAGGCCCTCTCTCGTTTTCCCCAGGAGAGATTGGTGTGAGCAGCGGGCTTCCCGGCGAGTCTGTACTGCACCCCAAGGGCAGCTTTGCCAAGTGTCTGGGTTCCTGCTCGGTGTCTGAGAATCCCGTGTTCCGTGGGCCTGTGTGGCCTTCCTGACCTTCAGTGCTGTGCTCTCCTCCTCAAACCAACCTCGGGGCCCCTTGTCTGTTAGACGCAGGAGGCCATGGGTCGCACATGGGGCCTGCAGGAAGCCACAGACCTCACCTTCTGTTCTGGTCCCTGGTGCTGCTCTGACAGGAACATACCACAGATGGGACGGCCTTAACAAACAGGAGTTTATTCTCTTACAGTTCAGGAGGCTTTAAGTCCGAGTTCAAAGTGCCAGGCTCTGGGGGCTGTGTGAAAGCCCCTCAGCCTTGGGCTTCAGCTCTGCCTCCTGCTCCCCGCCCACTGGAGCTAGAGGCTTCTCTTCACTCAGACAGCTGCTGGCTGCAGAGGCTGCCAAGCCGAAGGTCGACAAGTAAAAAGGCACAGTCCCAATGTTACCAAACCACAGGGCAGGCCATTAATTCAAGTCCATTGTAAGTCCCAAGGTTGGCAGAGCATGGCAGGCTGCTGAGCAATGACACAGCTACATGCAGGGTCCAAACGTGCCATAAGCCAAGGGCCATTCCCAAAGCTGCTTTTTATATATAGGAAGCAGACCACATCCCTAGGGCAGCTACTCAGCTGCTTGTGGTAGATCCCACCATGGAATCGATTGCCAGTCTCATCGTGGGGAATAACTACCACCAGCTGCCCAGCCACTCACCCAGGCCCAGCCAAGTTGGCATGCAAATATAACCACCACACCTCCTTGGCTCTGCCCTTTGTGAATGCTTCTAGGGGTGTAGAGCTTAAACCATGGCCTGTGTGCATGTCTTCACAGATTGACAGGCTTCTATATAGTTTACTTAACAAACACTTAAAATGGAATTTGTGCCAGGCATTGTGCTAAGCACTTGGCAATTACTAGTTTCTTTAATCCTTGGAACACCCGTATTTTCAGAATCTTTAAAAAAAAATCCTAAGTCACAAAAAGACATACATTGACCACGATTATAGAAAGTCCAGAAAAGGTTTATGCTCAGAAGGGCACGTTCTCCAATGGTTCTGGGGATGGAGGGGAGGAGGGAGAACCACTAACTGGACGTAGACACGTGCTCACTGGGTGATGGGCCGGTGATACGCGGTGAGGGGGGGCACGGCGTGGGACTCGTGATATGCGGTGGGGAGGGCACAGTGTGGCCAAGCCCAGGGAAGGCGGCAGGAGGTCGGGCGAGCGAAAGGTGGCGCTGGTGAGCACTCGCACGCACAGTCCTGCGCTGACGGGAACAGCAAACTAGTTCCAGGGAACAGGCAGATACGCGTTCTGGTTCCCTCTGCTGCTCTGACAGGAATAGTCCACCAACGGGTGCTTGAACAAAGTGTATTCTCTCACGGTTTGGAGATTTTAAGTCTGAGTTCAAAGTGCCAGGCTCTAGGGGCTGGATGAAGGCCCCTCAACCTTGGGCTTCAGCTCTGCCTCCTGCTCCCGGCCACTGAAGCTAGAGGCTTTTCTTCACTCAGCTGCTGGCTGCTGAGGCTGACAAACCCAGTGTGGACAAGTGAAATGGCACAGACCCCGATGTTACCAAACCACACGGTAGGCCAGTGATTCAAGTCCACTGACAGTCCCAAGGTCAGCAGAGCACGGCAGGGTGCCAAACAATGACACGGCTACATGCAGGGTTCAAGCGTGCCAAAAGGCTGGAGACCAGTCCCAAAGCTTCTCTTTGTATATGGGAAGCAGACCACATCCCTAAGGCAGCTACTCAGCTGCTCACAGCACATTCCACCGTGGAGTTGATGACCAGTCTCTTCCTGGGGAATACTGCATCCAGCTGTCCAGCCACTCAGCCAGGCCCAGCCAAGTTGACACACAGACTTAACCACCACACTATAAGCTGAACGGATGTGGGGTGGTGAATGGCACCCACGAGCACATGTAGGTTTGGCAGAGGGTATTTGTGCATACGTGTTTGTATGTGCTGCAGATATGTCCAGGTACATATAATACAGCACACGGGATAAAATCCCAGACTTCTCAGGCACAGCCTGACACCTGGAGGGCCCGAGTCCACGGGACCAACCTCTCAGAGAACATCTGGGCCAATTATAACATAGTCCATAAAGACAATGTCCCACATCCTGCTTTGGTGAGTAGTGACTGGGGTCTTATACCAAGTTCATGAACAGCCATCTAAGATGCAGCTATCGGTCTCTTCCTGTCCAGAAAAAAGACTGAAGGAAATCAAAGACTCAGGGAAACAGTCCAAAGGACCAGTGGGCCACCCAAACCCCAGCCTGCACTAGCCTGATACCAGAAGAACTAGATGGTGCCCGGCTCCCACTGCTGACCACTCTGATCGGGTTCACAATAGCAGATCCCAGACAGAGGGGAAAATGTAGCACAAAAGTCATGAAAACCAGGCTTAGTGTCTGACAGACACTGGTGGGGTCCACTCTGGAGGCCCTTACACCCTGCAAACCTGGAACAGAACCCACCCCAGGGTCCCCTTTCTGCCAGACAACAGGTCCATAGAGTGAACGGTAACCCCCCAGGAACGCACTCCCCAGAACCATCAACCCCACGGGACCAAGAGGGCCACACCTGCCCCCAAACAAAGGTCAGGAGGCAGGAAACAAGGAAGCCAGGGAGGAGGTGGGAAGAGAGCTGTTACACTGAGGACACGCAACCAATGTCCCAAAACAGGATGGGAATAGTTGAACAGAAAACCGATTAGCTCTATGAACTTGTGCCCAGACTGCAATAAAATGTGAAAAAACACCCAACCCTGTGAGCACAGTTCTGACACACGTGGCGTCGTCATGGGTCACAGTGGACACAGTGGCAACTGGCTTTAGCTTTGAAACTATCTCAAGCTCTGAAAGAAAACCAGATCGTGTGGCTGAGGGGTGATGCTGTTGACCATTGGCTTGTTCCCGTGTTTGAGGACCAGCGGCAGCTACCACGTACGTCTGGTGGGCTCTAAGCTGAGGAACAAGGTGCCTCCTCTCCCTGTGACATGAAGGCTGAAGCTCTTGGCCCTGCTGGTGCTATCTTAGCCTCCTGTGATGGGTCCTTCATTCTGTCCGGGTGACCACAAAACAGGCTTGAAACAGCAGCTGTCTGTCGGCTCTGCTCTGGAGGCCGTGGTCTGAAATCAAGTGTTGGCAGGGCCGTTCCTCCTGGGGCGCCTGCCCGTTCCCCGGAGTCTTGAGTTGGTGCCGAGCCTTGGCAGCGTTCCCACTGTCCCCGTTATCAGGACCCGGTTGTTGGATTGGGGCTCTGCATCAGGTTAACCTCGTCATGATGTATTGCATCTGCAAAGGCCCTATTTCCAAATGAGGCCACGCCCACAGGTGCTGGGGGCCAAGGCCTGAACCCACACCTGTCAGCGGGCAAGAGCCACTGGGGTCTCTTGGAGACCACACGACTTAGCACAGGGTGTACTCAGGCCTTTTATTCCCGGGACGTTTGCGAAGCCTGGTTTTCAATGTTCTGTTACACTGCTTTAATTTTCTTCTTCAGGGACGCTGATTATGTGTTATGAAGAGCATTCATGTAAAGATTTACTAGAGTAAAAATACAAACCTCCTAAGTATGCAAAAATGTGTTTAAAGCGAAAAGGATACATCAAATTGAGAAACACAGTAATTATAACACTCTCGGGAGTTGCAACATGTCATGACAGCATTGGGCCAGCCAGCCAGTACTGGGAGGGAGGGAGTTCACTGCCAGTTACAAAGCAGGCTTCACATTGGCTCAGAAGCCACACCTAATGCTCTCCCGTGTCCAAGAGACACACCTGAAAACGAAGGCCAACAGTGAAGAGGACGAAATGAGGACAATGAGAAAACAGGTGCCACAACCCGGACACCAGACAGAGCTGAGTGTTAGGCACTGTCGAGTCGGCCCCGAGCCACGGCCACACTGTGAACAGCACAGCAGACCGCTGCCCGGTCCCTCGCCTCCCGCGGTCGGTAGTTCCCATCGGCTGACTCTCAGACCATCCCCAGGCCCGCCTTCCTGGTCCATCTCGGTCTGGAAGCTCCGCCGAACCTGTTTAGTGTCACAGCAACATGCAAGCCTTCAGTGACGGCTGGGGGCTGCACGTGACGTGCACTGGCCGGGAATCGAACCCGGGTCCCCCACGCGGAAGGGGAGGACTCTACCCCTGAGCCAGGGTGCCGGTCTACGCGCCCCCACCACACCGAAGTAGACCTTTATAATGTTCAGAAACGACACGCTCAGACATCGGCCTAGTGCTCACCTCTCCAAGGCAGAGCAGTCAGGGGCCAGTGACAGGCTCTGGGCGGGTCACACGTGGGGCTGTCAGGACTTTGGTCTTACGCTGCATGTGGAGGCACGCAGCGCCGCGTGCCCCGGGCCGTGGGATGTGGGTGCGCGTTGCAGCCTGGAAGGACCACGGGGCGTAGAGT